AAGGTATTAGAAAGAATAGTACTGGATCAGATAACGAAATTCTTCGCAGATAATGGCATTGAACACGTACCAGACTCTCAATTTGCGTACCGTCGCAACCACTCTTGCGAAGACTGCTTGGCTCTAGCTGTGAACAGATGGCTTTCTGCATTGGATAGCAACGAATACTGTGGTGTCATCTTCGCTGACATGAGCAAAGCTTTTGACAGAGTGGCACACTCCGCCCTCATCCAGAGTCTACATGACACAGGCATCAGAGATGTTGCCTTGAATTGGTTTTGTAGCTACCTGTCTGACAGAATACAAACTGTGAGAGTTGATCAGGAACTTGGACAGTCACGCCCATGCTCCAGAGGAGTGCCCCAAGGCTCCGTTCTGGGCCCAGTCTTGTTTTGTATCTACATTCGCGACATAACACCCTGTTTTAGGTTTAGCCAAGACCAGGAATATGCCGATGATATTGCATTTTATGTCCGGCATAGTGACTGTGATACTGTGTTGGAGCGTCTCACGGCGGACCTTGCTGCTCTGGACAGCTACCTTACAGGGAAGGGACTGGTTCTTAACCCTGATAAGACACAATTTCTGCTACTACGTCGCCCAACTAGTCCCTTACCCACCACTGTGTCCATATCATGCCGCAACTCCACTCTCTATCCTGCGCACACAGCCAAATACCTGGGCCTCATTGTGGATGAGCACTTGGCATTCGATGCTCAAGTAGAGCGAGTTTGCATTGCCGTCAAGCAGAAGGTCGGAGCCTACAAGCATGCCAGGCAGAACCTGAACCACAGAGCGCGTCGTCTTTTCTATCTATCTATTATTCAATCCACCCTTGAGTATGCTAGCTCTGCCTACATTAACTGTCTATCTCACCGTTCATACAACCAGCTGATCACAGCCAGCCGTACTAGTCTTAAAAGAATATTTGCCCTTGACCGCAGAACTCCCACTGAGACCCTGTACGCTTACACGAAGATCTACACACTAGAGCAACGCTTAAATTTCAAGCAATACGTCTTTGTCTTTCGCTGTCTGCATGGTTTATCTAGCCCACTTCTCAGCCTCCTATTCACTCCCCGCTGCACTGGCCCACATTCTGCTGCCACAACTCGGGGCCAAGCTACAGCTGCTCTTGTCTTGCCTGCCTGCCACTCCCGGTATGGTTTCCATTCCATTGCGTATCTTGGTGCCGACAGGTGGAATGCGCTGCCTCCATCTTGTCGCCTGGCCGAGTCGCCTGCTTTGTTTCGCGCTCACACAAAGTCTCATTTAGGGTTCCCAGTAAAAAGGCAACATTGCCTGTTGGGAAATCCCTAACAAAATAAGAAAAAATAATAATAATAATAATAATGTGAGAGAGACACCAAAAAGTTAGGGTGCCAGTTTCCAATGTAGTGTGGAATATTTCACACGTGACGATGCACTGCCGACGATGCACTGCAAGTTATGGAGCAGCAAGATCAGGACTGCGTGCTCATGCTCTCCAATGCCGGTAGGCGGCCAAAGATATTCTACCGTTTTAACCGGAGTTGACGACGCACAGAGACTAATAATTATGTTGGGCAACCTGCAAAACCAATCTGATTTATCTGTATGTGACTTACTTCAGATGCATCTTTATTTCCCATTGGAAGCTTATTGACAGATTCAGGTCATATTTGTTGATAGACCCTATTTTACTGCCTTTTAAAATTGTGTACACACTTTTCTGGGTGAAAGAATGCATGTAAAGCAACCCCATGGTGTGTCTCATGTTTATGGTGTGCGATCAAGAAGTGGACAGAGGACATACAAAATCACAAAATGAGACCATGCACACTTCAAAACTCGCCAAGGCAACGGAATTAATGATAGGCTTTCTTACTTTCGTGTAAAGTTTTTCTCCTTGTACACAAAAAAGATCACCTTGTACATAAAGAATTTCCGTAGGTCGATGACGTTTTTGTACAAGTACTAAGCAACCACACTACACTTTTAGGTCTGCATAGTTGACGTTTTCACGCGAACAGCACGTGACATTGTCGTACCAAAGCGTGTGCCATGCGCTGGAAAAGATCGGGAAATTCAAAAACAATGCTGATACTGATGCTATGTACGACGACCAGGTACAAAAACAAAGTTGTACGCAGGAGATGGAGCGCGAAAACGACGAAAACGACAAACGTGGCTTTCTACAGGGGTGCGCCAGTTGCTGAAAACCTACAAAGCGCATTTTGCATTTCGCACGCGTCGGCATGACGATTTCTACTGTAATGCAGTTTGTACGTGATTTTGTACCTAGTGTGGTTGCAGCCTAAGGGCCTTTTCACACTAGATAAAAGAACATGAGTGCACGCGACATCATGTACCAGGTTTGTTTGGGCTGCTTTTCACACTGCTTGACTTTGAGAACGTCATGAAACATTTTCACGGGATTCCCCATGGTGACAGCCTACGTCACTAACGGCGGGAAAAGTTTGAAGTTACATCCGCACAAGAATTTCAAGAAATTTTGGATTCATGATCGCTCGAGAAGGCGAAGGAGAAACAAAAAAATCCCTTTTTCACTTCTTTGTTGAAGAATGCCTCCTGTTCGTGATGATAGGCGGTGAAGAAGACTTTTGGCGTTGATCTCACGGACGAACAGGTGATGCAGGAACAGACAGCACCTGCGTTGAGCTCAATGAGCTAATTATGGGCCCATACCCTGGTACGTCCGAAAACGTTTTGTGCCACAGCTTGAAGTTGCCCCACTCGCCACCTGCAGCTGCGAGATCTAAATTGCCTGCATTGCCACCACAACCATCACCTACAGCTGCTCCAGTTTGGGTTGAAGCTGTGTACTTCTTGTAGAAATCTCTCGCCTTCGACTTGAGGTCGATTTCATTGCTGACAACCTTGAGCGAGAACTCATGCTCGTTCTTCTCCCCATATAGTTGCACAGCATACTTGTTGAGAGCCTGCACCACCTCCATCTCCCTCACTTTTCTTTTGATCATCTGACCGCCTTTCCTCCGCTGCTGCTCGCCCCACAGCTCGATCAATTTTTTTTCTAACTCATCGTTGAAGTGAACCAAAGGCATTGTCCTGGACTCCAGGAGAGTTGAGGAAACGCTCGACCAACACGACGGCCACAACAAAAAACTCTTCACGAATGTGAAAACGGAAGAATGGCACTTTCTACAGGGGTCGACCCCGGTCCTCGCTTGTCGTAAAAGGCAAGTGCGCCGTTTTCATTTTAGCGCCATTTTCCACCCATTGTCATGACGATTTTCATGAAAATGTCACTTATACGGCGTTTTTTACCTAGTACATAGTGTGAAAAGGCCCTAAGAGTGTACATAAAGAATTTCCGTAGGTCGATGACGTTTTTTTACAAGTACTAAGAGGCTTTAGGGTTTTACGTCGGGCCCTAGACGACGGCTACTTTGGCCAACCGGACAACGAAGAAGTTGTGACCAAAGAGAATGATTCTATTTCTTGCGCATGCGTTTGTAGAATGCCGTAATACTCAGTGAGTCAGGTCGCTACAGTACTCCCCCGCCAGTGGTGAGGTCGGGAGCGAAGAACGATAAACAAGAAACAAGAAAGAGAAGAGAAAGGAAGCGCAGCATGTACAAGGCGGAAAGGCAAAAATATAATCATATGATACATATGTACAAGCGAGAGCGCTGCGTGTGTGAAATTTGTTAAACAACGTGGCACAAATGCCGAAACAAAAATCAGAAAAGCAGGAAAGAGAGAGATGCATGACAGAGGCGGGTTAACGTGTCAGAGGTGTGTTAACGTGACAGAGGTGGAGAGCATGTCAGAGGCAGAAAGACAGAAAAGAGGAAACGGACGCATGACAGAGGAGTGTTATCGTGTCAGAGGCGGAAAGAAAGGAAATGTACGCGTGACAGAGGAGTATTATCATGTCAGAGGCGGCTGCATGTTGCAGGCTTGGCGGGATACCAGCAGGAGCGCTGCACTGGGGCGAGGCCAAGTGAGGCGAGGACAGATGGAGGCGAGCGCAGCTCCATGGGGTCCGGTGCCGGGCGTGTGCCTGCGTGCGTGCACAGTGAGTGAGCTGGTACGACGGGTGGAGGTGGCCAATTATTTCCAGCTTGAGGCCAGGACGAAGACGACTGGACAATGTGCCGTGGCAGGATAGCGGGGTATCCAGGTGGGCCGGGAGGGTGGCAGGGGCCACAGCAGCTCCGAGGCGGATCCAGTGACGAGTGGTGGTGAGGCTGAAGTTTTACGTCAACAGCCGGCGATTGACGGGATCCCGAGAGTTGAGGCGAGCAGGAAACTGCGGCGGGCCGAGCTCAGGGATGGCATGCTCAAAACTCCGAAGAGCGCAGCGTCTGGGTCACCAATTTAGGGTTTTACGTCGGGCCCTAGACGACGGCTACTTTGGCCAACCGGACAACGAAGAAGTTGTGACCAAAGAGAATGATTTTATTTCTTGCGCATGCGTTTGTAGAATGCCGTAATACTCAGTGAGTCAGGTCGCTACAAGGCCGTCCGGGGTTACCGATTGTTTTTACAAAACGAATAGTTTTAGTATTTTTCAGCCCCCACCCACCCACCCACCTTTGCTGCAGGTAAAACGAATTCCAATAAAATATTGATGTAAATTTTCGACACCCAGAAGTAACTGGGCATTCTCCATCAGTATTCAATAATTATTTTCAAAACGAAACTCCATCAAACCCACCCACCCCCAAACGAAAACATTTCGTTTTGAAAATATTATTGGTAACCTTGGATGGCCCCTAACGAAATTACGTTGTGAGGAACCTCTCTATTTACCCTTGTTACCGACTTACTTTGTCCTCTCCTTTTCTCTCTCTGTCTCCATAATTATGGTTTTCTGGGCCTATCTCCTTCTCTCAATCAATCTCTTTCCCTGCCAACCTCTACTCTTGTTCTGATGTGTGTGCGTGTGTGTGTGTGTGTGTGTGTGTGTGTGTGTGTGTGTGTGTGTGTGTGTGTGTGTGTGTGTGTGTGTGTGTGTATTGATCACCTCACAGGTAGCACTCATCAGAAGTCCTAACCTCTTCGACTACAAGAGCTTGTGATGCATGTTGGGTCATCAGACAGCGGCTGAGCCCATGTTCTCTCAATAGTATCAAGAGTACTCTTGATAATACCAATAATGTATAGCACATGTACTTTTGATAACACCTTTTCCTTCCAATTCTGTTTACTAGTATGTGGGATTGCCCCTCCACCCCCCCCCCCCCTCCCCATGACAAGTACATGAGCTTTGGTTTGGTCCCACTATTGAGGGATTTGGACTATGTATGATTTAGCTT